TTACTGTTAGTTTGGAATATTTTTCTAAACGTTTTTGCACTTGATGGAGGATATGATTTTCCTTATTGTCGTTTCTTCACCAGTAATAATTGGACCAATCTTCTGACATTTGAAAAAGCTGATCGATAATGTTTCTGTGATATTGAAGTATCAACAAAAGTGCGGCTTATAGTTTGTTTGTTATGAATTTCGAGCAAAGCTACACGAGGGCTTTCTGCGTTAGCCGTCCCTAATTTAGCAGTGAAAGACTAGAGGGAAGACAGCTGGTCCTCACCGCCCACCGCAAACTCTTGGGCTACTCTTTTACCAACGAATAGTGGGATTGACCGCAAATTATAAGGCCCCCACGGTTGAAAGGGCAAGCATGTTTGGTGGGACGGTGATTAGAACTCGCGACCCTCAGATTGCGAGTCGAACGCCCTAACCACCTGGCGATGAATTTGCATTAAGATTGTTACACCAGTCGCTACTTCAACCAGATTTATAATGTTGCCCACTCGAATTGTTTTTTGCACTGAAACTTTATGCTTGTCGAACCTTCGAGAAGATAACTGAATGAACCAAACATACTTTCAATTTTATTCATCTCTTTAATATACAAGATTTGAGTGCAAAAAAACATGCTCTACCCTGCCAACTGGGCATACATCAGAATCTTGAACAAAGTATATTGATATTCATGAACAGAGCCTATTGGATGACATATTTCATCTTTTGCTCTATTTTCAGGGCCTAGCAGCCCAACTGTAATGTCGTTTTAAATTCCAGTACGTTGTTGTTATTGTTTTAGCGCAAAGCAACACAATAGACTATCTGTGTTCTGTCTATTTTGCGGAATCGAACCCCAGTTTCTAGCATTGTAGGTCCGTAAACTTACCACTGACCCTCCGGGGGGATTGCAGAATTGTGCTATTAAGTGTTCATAATTGATATTTTCCAGCATAAAGAATTGCAGCAATATTTTTTTTTTAAATGAATAATTAAAATTTTACAACAAGTTTGAAACTGACAACACAAAAGTGGATACAATTAAGAATCAATTGAACAAAATGTTGGAATTATAATATAAAAATTAAACCACTAAAGACTCAACTCTTTGAAATATTTTAGCAAGTATATTTTAAAAAATCAGTGCATTGAAATATGAAGATCTGGAAGTGAAATTAATTAAGTTTCACCACATTAAAATCTAACATCCAATACAACTCGAACTCTCCCTCAGAAAACTCTTGTTCGCGGACTACAAATCTCACTAAAGTATCGTACGTTCATAAAAACAGGGAGTTGTACTACATTTCAAAACCGTATGAACAATAGAATGAATTAAGATTAATCAAGTTACTTACAATGAATACAACCAGTAGATAATAATTATTTAATTAGCTCTTTTCCGCTGTAATATACACAAGAAGGTTATAACGTGATTTTTTGAAGTCGAGAAAACCAAACCAATAAAGTCCAATCTCTTTTGAGGCGTGTTACTATTAGAAATTCTCAGTTTATTCGCCTTTTTAATTTCAGCATTTTTTAAGCACGCAATCATGCTCCCTTTGCCCGTGTACCAACTTCTTCTTTATCCCTTAAAGATTCGAAAGTGTGTTGTAATATTATCTTTCTTTCTAGCAGCCTCAGAGGGAAATGTTACGAGTCAGAATAAAGACACCAGAGCATTTCCACCTGACATCTGGTTCTGAAACACACACCACTAAACTTCTTAAAAATTCCAAATGATCAATTTGTTATATTTTATACCGTTACCCATCAGTCTAGTTTCAGGGTATTTTATTCGAAATGTTCTTTGGTTCATCGTCCTAGAACAAGAAGTCCATTTTAAAAACGTATGATTGAAATTCCAAAGACTTGTTTGCTTTGTTTTGAATTTCGCGCATAGCTACACGAAGGCTAACTGCGCTAGCCCGTCCCTAATTTAGCAGTGAAAGACTAGAGGGAAGGCAGCTAGTCATCATCACCCACTTTCACATTATAAAGCCCCCACGGTTAAAAGGGCGAGTATGTTTGGTGGGACGGGGATTCGAACCCGCGACACTCAGATTTTGAGTCAAGAAATTCCAAAGAGGAAATTAACTTTACAAAGAAGATTCCTATAACTACTTAGGAAAATAAAACGTGTTTTTATGCTTGTAGTTATTCTAGAAAATAATATAGATTTGTAATATTTTCAAATGTTTCATACACATAGGTCGTGTTGATAAAAGATATAGGATTTGGTCATATAATAAGCAATACTTATACAATATAATATAAGTTTCAGTACGTGCCTCCTTTCTTTGTGAGCTCTCCTAGCCAATATATATAAGGATTTGTAGACATTGCGTGAGAAGTTATCATGGCAAGCTGTCATACTATTTCCTGGAGTACGTGATAGCAACAACAATCAGCTTCTTGTAAGTCGATTTATTTGGTTCAGTTTGTTACACGAGGGCTATCTGCGCCAGCCATCCCTAATTTAGCAGTGATTTAGCAGCTAGTTAACACCACCCACCGACAACTCTTTGGCTACTCTTTTACGAACGAATAATAAAATCAACGTCACATTATAACACCCCCACGGCTGAAAGGGATTCGAACCCTTGGCCCGCAGATCACCCTAACCACTCGGCCATGCCGAGCCTTTCTAAGACGAATATATAATGCTCTTGTTTGTTTGTATTAAAGAACAAAGCTACACAATTAACTATCTGTGCTCTCCCCCTCACGAGTATTGGAACCCAGATTCTAGAGTTGTAAGTCCGCAGACATGTAACTGTGCCTTTGGGAGGCAGATAGAAGTATGTGTGTGTGTTTTCCTATAGCAAACCCACATGTGGATACCTGCTACGTCTACCGAGGGGAGTCAAACCCCTGATTTTAGCATTGTAAATCCGAAGACTTACCGCTGTCCCACCGGGGGAATATAATTCTAATTGATGACAATAGTTTCCGTATTACAGCCTGTTCTCTTGTTTCATTTCCTTTCCTTCTATACTCAACCAGTTGATAAAAACAAATCGAAAACCCAAAACAACAACAAAAATACATACTACATACAAAACATTAAAACAATAGCATAACAAACCGAAAAAATATAACAGGATTCCCCTTTAAATAAATAAATAAAGTTCTGCAGAAACATAAAACATTCGATTTGTATTCATTAAGTAACACGTGAACACGACTGACATGACTTCAAGTCCATGCAATAAAACCAAACGTAAACTAAATTATAAAACAATTTATTTAACAGCGAATTTATATTGATATAAATATGTTTAACAACATACACATGGTTAACTTATACATCTATGATAATATTTTCTAATCACTTGAGTTTTTTTACTGTGAAAGGCGCATGCCCAGTTTTTACACCTGGGGGGGGGGGGCACCTGTTGCAAACCACCAAATAAAAACAATCTAAGTTTCAGGAGCGAATTCAAGAAAAATAACCTATTAATTCTAACATGTTGTTGATGTGAACGTGCTTTATAGTCACTATGAGAAAAACCTATACACTGAATAGGTAAAGTAAAGAAAACGTGTCATTGGCCACTGTTCAGTTCTTCACATTATATAGCCGCATAATAGCAGATATAACAAATAAGCTTAGTATTCCGAAAATTTTTTAATCTCTAAGTCTAAGTTCAAGGGAAGTCCAGTTCTGACCTGTATAACCTATTAACTCCCCCGAAAAGGTTTCTTAAGTTTCATTTCGATTTGGACGTAAAAAAATGGTTCCTTGAATAACTAAATAGTTTGTTTGTTTGTTTTAGAGCAAAGCCAAATTTGACTACTTGCTGTGTTTACCGCAAACAATCCAACCCCGGATTTTAGCTTTGTAAGTCCGTAGACTTACCGCTGTCCCACAACTTATTACTACAATAATAAACATGGTGTTGTTAAAAGACTGGGATTTTTTAGATAATAAAGTTCTATAGCAAGAGAAAATTTCGTTTGTTTCGGATATTCGTGCAAACCTACACAAGAACTGTCTGTGCTAGCCGACCCTAATTTTAAATCTTAGAGCAGCGTTTCCCAAACTTTTTGGTCCATGGAACACTTTTCAGCTGAGAAAAGTTTACGGAACACTAGGCACGTGAAATATCGGTGTAGAGGGTATGTTGCGCGCGCAGTGCCCTCTGGATTTGTATATTATACATTCATTTATTTAATCAAATTACACAATAATGAATTTTTACATTTTTACGCTTATAATATATTATAAGTTATTATATAAGATAAGATATTATGTAGAATAGATATGACACCTTCTATAATTCTTCTTCAATGTGAAATCGATATTATCTAATTCTAATACATAAGAAAATATTTCATAATAAGTTATGATCGTACAAAAAGTGTTAAATATTTTATTAACATTTAAAATCATGATTTTCTCACGCAGTACCTATCAATCTCGGACGGACATAGTTGGGGAAACGCTGGATTAGAGGGAAGGCAGCATCGAAAAACGAACTTTGATCGTCTCTCATGTAGAGCAATTACGGCCCCTAAACTCGGAGCGCAATTTTGTGGCAAGGGGATGCGAGCCATGAACCCTCTCGAATCTACAGTCGAACACGCTAACCACTCTGTCATGTCCGGCAAGAGAAAGAGAGAGACATCATTCATCAAATGGACGTCCTCTCATACCTTAAAACTGTAAACAATGTTTCGAATCCTGTTTAGAGACCATGACATGTAGCATCAAATAAAAGTTTCGCCTGAACTTCCGGGTGAACAAAGTTTCGAAACCTGTGTCAAAAGCATGACTTGTCAAATAAGCAAATGTAAACTTCTTGTACCAGCCCCCCTTTCTAAAGTTTTTCCTTGGGTTGTATTTATTTTTAAAATTTGTGGCTATATTGAAAATGTTTTTGTACAGATATTCTATGCAATCACTACGCCCCCCTCCCCCGTGGCACAGCGGTATGTCTGCGGACTGATACCGCCAGAAACCGGGTTTCGATACCCGTGGTGGGCAGAGCACAAATAGCCCATTGTGTAGCTTTGCTTAGCAAAACCAAACAACGTACCGTGCTTTGCTTGTTGGTCAACGTTTTGGATCCACTGCTGAGACCTCGTAAGATCGTAACAAATGTATTTTACCCCAAATTCTCGAACTGTATGAGTCGAGAAAAGACTCAATATAGAAGTTAAGTAAGTGAAAACAGGGAACAAACGATCACCTGCGTAGGTTAGTTACTTACTATATAGTTGAGTCAGTTCCAATCTTATACACCCAATCACGTGAAACAGGTGTTGCTGGAGATTCGGGAATTCAGGGCTCTGAAGAACCCCTGTGGTGAAAGTTGGTCAATAGAACATCGGAAATGATGTTACGGTTTGTTTTTTGTTGTTGTTTTTCTCGATGAATCTTCTCCCAGTTTTAGGCTAAAGGTAACAGATTAACACCTGATAAGAATGCATATGCCCATATTTTTTCCATTCAGCCTGCAGTTTGGAATTAAGTTTTCATTAATTTTTAAATTCACAATTATATTTAACTTAAAATATAAGAAAGAATAAATGAATCGTTACACTGCCTTTTTATTCCGCTTTAATACAATATTTTAAATTATCTTGTTTAAATTTTAGAAGAAAAAAAAAGCCACCGGCTGAGCTAGGTAATAATGCAAAGTGGAAAAATGGCACTTTTTTCTACGTTGTGTAGTTGTTCCCACCTTGCATTGTTTCTATTTTTATTTGTTTAATTTTTATAAGCGCCATTATTACCAAATATATCATTACTGATTTCATTTTCCAGGTGTCACTATTATCGGACACCCTGCTGAATACGCTATAATACTAGTAGTACTGAACTATTACTTACGTATTGTTGTCACATATATATATGTGTGTGTGTGGTATTATATGGCAAAGAAACATTTTCAACTAATGCAGATATTTCAATATTGTTGTCACATACATATATATATATATGTGTGTGTATGGTATTATACGGCAAAGAAACATTTTCAACTAATGCAGATATTTCATCATCTAATATGATGAGTGTTGATTCAAGACCAGAATGTTCTCCAATGGTTTAACTGTAAACTCAAGGGCCTATAACTATAGAATTCATGGTTCGTTCACTGCGGTAGCACATCGTGTAGTTCACGCTAAAACATAACAAATAAACGAGGCCATAAGCTGATAATATACTCAGAACGTTATTCGTGATGATGTCTTAAACTTTAACGTTGGGCAATCTCTGAATAAAGAGCTTCTCCTATGGAAAATATTTCGACAATTAAACCCTTATAAGATGATAACCCAAAACCTGTGACCTTGACTTCTGACCTACATTAGCGGATCTTAACTGACAAGCCAACTGATGATAAATGTTAACAGATAGACTTGTGAATAACTGTGCGAAACAGCTAAAGTTAAACGTTCTTTGTATATTGTAACCACCGAGAAACAAGTCTTGCACAAGAACGAGCCAGACAATACATACGCATTGACCTATCTCACAGAAGGTGTCATGAAATTACGTCATGAACTATTTCTATAAGCGAAACGCGCTAGCCCACTCTACAGAAACTGGTATACACCATCAACATGTTCGCATACATTTTACAGGTACGTAAACGTGTGAACTATTCAGCACGTGTTTCCTACATTTAGGTTTTTATTTTTTCGTGACTCTTTTGTTGGATCTTTGTTTCAGCTGCTATTAATCAGAAAGCCTACAAGCGACGCATGGAAATGAGCAGATTCTGTTAATGATCATATGTGTTTCTGTATACTTTCAGGGCTAGGTGTGGCCTGTTGGTTAGTGTTTCCGGACTGTAGATCCGAGAATTCATATTTCGCGACCCGTTGTTGCAAAAAAAAAAATCTCTCTGCAATTTGGAGATATGGATGCGTAATATGCGTGACAGTCAAACCCCTCTATTCGATCAGATATAAATAACACAAGCCTGCGAATTTAAACTTCATAAAAGGTGTTTCGGCTTAATAACGGATTTTCCATAATTCGGCTACGCAGATTTCAAAAATAATATTCATTTTTTTTCTTTCACGTAAGGATTTTCTACAAATCGGGAAGAAAAAACACTCTTAGATATTATTTCGTTTACCACAATGAACATATTTTATTATTATTATGTTTGTTAACAAAAATACAAACAAACTGAATAAAATGGAAGAACATTGAAGTCAAACGAATGTGCATCCTCATTCATCCTGATATTTGTTTGTGAAATCTACGTCTTTTAGTCTCCAAGCTACGTATTGTGATCTTTCTTTTATGTATTGCGTT